ATGACCTTGACAACATATGTCAAGGTCATCGAGATTGGAGGGTGGTCCGTTATTCTATATACATGTAATTACCATTGATTTGTATAAACTTGGTTTTTCCTTACCCGGAACATGTACGTAATTGATTATGCTTGCGCACATGAATTTAAATAGTTTTTTTTTTCGTGCAAATGTTCCGTTCGATCGTAATAAACCGGGAATGGTCGTACCGCACGTGCGCTTGCTAATCCGAGCGCGGCGAAGCGACACGCGGTCATTTTCAGAAAATAATTACATTAATTAAGGCGTTAATCGTCGGATCACGCTCGCGTTCGGCATAGCGTGATTGCATGTTCCCGCTATGTACAATTTCCAGGTTGAATTGGCTGCCTCCTTGTTATTTGTCGCGAGTAGTCGTCGGCGAGCGGTTCTCCGTTATCCCTCGATTCTACGCTAAAATTTTCCTCGCGGTACTCCTTCGTCCCATTGTCCACTTTGCTAAGTACGGCCTTCCAGTCTTTTCAAATTAAATTTGATGTTTGTGTTTCAAACTATACTCACATGTTTAAACCGCGTTCCTTTTCAGTAAGCATAATTGTTCATTCTTTCAGGTCACCGCACAATGGTGAGCAAGTTCTGGTGCCAGGAGATCGGACGAAGGTGGAAACAGGCGGCCAGGCAGGAGCCGCCGCAGGCGCGTGTGCTCTCCGAGCCAAAGTACCAGTCGTACGCGGCCATCTGGTACCTCTACTACCGCTGGATCATCTTCCTGGTATGGGCCGCCTTCGTCGTGTGTTCATTATTTGAGTTCGGCAGCTACAAACCGCTGCTGCAGCAAGAGAAATGGCCAATCTATCTCACCAACTGGGACATGGCTTTGGGCCTCGCGCAAGCGTTTATTGGCTGTATTCTTGTGTCGAAACGATGGCGCTTGCAGAAGATACCTGGCTTCGACCCTTGCAATCTCAAATTAGAATTCACCGAGCGGCTATACTGGTTTCTGTACGTTGTCACGACCAATATGGCCATTGGCGTGACGGTGTGTTACTGGCTCGCCGTATACAATCCGGAAATCCACCAAGTGGACCCGCTCAACATCATGATGCATGTGTGCAACAGCGTGCTGATGCTGATCGATTTATTTGTCACCAGTATACCGTTTCGTTTGCAGCACTTCTGGTGGTGCCTGTCGATCGTCTTATTCTACGTGATCTTCTCGGTGATCTATTACATCGCCGGCGGCCTTGACAAGTTCGGCTACCATTACATCTACAAAATCCTCGATTGGAAGAAGCCGTTGCGAACGTTGCTCGTTTGTATTGGTGGTTTCATGTTCGTGACGGTGCTGCATTGCGTCGTTTGCATGCTGGCGAACGTCAGGGACCGCGTCTATCGCAAGACTGCCGAGAAATTCAGCAAACCTATGCAGATAAACATTACGGACGATAAACCGCTACCAGAAAAACAAATAGAAGTAGTTTAATTGGTGAAGAAGTCTAGAAATGTTTGTTTTCGTCTAACGTGCTTCTCGGCATGTAAAACTCTTAACTCGTTAAAAAAATATTCGGCAAGGCAAGATGAAACGTGCCTTCTTGTGGTGATTGCGCCTCCGAGTAGCGCCCTTCTCTGGCGAGCGAGACTTCTGTGGGCAATCTAGCTTGCTTATAGAAACGATCAAGTATTAATGAGATGTTAACAATGTTTGATGAGTGATACAACTAAGTAGGTGATCTCTTGTACGTCTTTGTAAGCTTCGTCTTCGGCTATATTTCCAACAAACTAGAAAAGCAATGATTGTTACTAGCAATATTAGACTGCGTATCCACTTGAGGCTGCAAATCGGCTTCGAAGCGTTCTTCTCCTCCCTCCCTTTAATAAAGAAAGATTAAGAAGAAGAACGCTTTGAAGTATTTGTAACATCAAGAGAACCGCAGTCAATACACCGATTAAAATCATTCTCAATTTGTAGACTGCAAAAATTTACTTGTAATTAATTAGAAATTATGTGACAATATCGTGGATGCCTGACAGTATTTGTGAACGCTTTAATTCGGTTCTGAACACATGTTTACTATTTAGACACAAGTAAAAATTTACATAAAACAACATCAAACTTAGTTGACTGTATCTGGCAACTTTTGATACGGTCAACTAAATTTGATGTTGTTAATTATTGCTGGCGACCCTGAAGATTTTCCTGTGAGTTTACATAAAATTTTTTTTTCTTTGAATAATGCAAATCTTATTACGGAAAATAGTAAACATTCCGTAAACATTCCATTGGAATTAAAATAAATTAATACTTTTACCTTGTATTTAGTGCTATATGATTTTACTGTATCGCATTTTTGTAACGCTGAGAAATAACGAATATATTTTTGTATTAGATAAAAATAATCACACTTGCTTTAAAGGCACTATGAACTCAGGTCCAGATTACATCAACGTTGTGTATATTCAAGCATACAAACTTTGATATTAACTCTTATGATCTACTCTTATTAACAGGGTTGGAAAGTAACTCGTTACTTGTAACGAAGTTACAGTTACTTTTTTTCCGTAACTCTAACTTAACTCCGTTACTTTCTCTCCGTCTTTAACTGTAACTTAATTCAGTTACATTCATTCGATAATTAGTAATCAATTTAATAATAACTTTAAACCTCCACAGAGATCGCATTAGGCCTTGCATTACATTAATGCATAAACGCCTTTATCGGCGCTTTGCAATTTAAATGCAAATTTGATATTTTAATGTTCATTGCAAGAAAGTGACTGCAAAGTAACGATTCGATACTTGGTGAGTAACTGTAGCGCGTTACTTTTCAGAATTGGTAACGTGTAACTGTAACTAGTTACATATTTAGCGAAAGAGCTGTAATTGTAACTGGATACTTTTATAAAGTAACGTTCCCAATCCTGCTTTTTAACATCAATTACAAAGCCGATATCGTTTTTCGCGATTATATTCGCATTGAAATTCAAGATCTTATAGTGTGCAATGATCAATAATTTAATAGCTATCGTTATATTGTAGATTAATTAGTAAAAGAAAATTTCGATACGAGGGATTATTAAATGAGATGCTTACATAAGGATGTACATACAATCCAGAATGACTAATGTGATTAATATATAATTATTACTTGATTTAAGGAAGATTGATTAAGAGCTCAAGGTTCGTTTTGAGGGAAACATATGAAGAGATTCGAGAGTTCCTATCTAGTTAAACTTTTATCTTATTACATCTGAGTTCTGTATGATTATTGCATGTGCAGTCAATTGATTGCAGCGGACAAATATCTTTTTCGACCATTGTCGATATAAAACATAGATTTGCGCATATGTAGATAAACCCGTAGCGTAAAGCAATCAAGAATTGTATGCGTATCTATCCTTTTTTTTATTACAACTTGCTGTAATAAGTAATTATTGCGTGAAGTAATTTAATACTATTTTAGACAAGTTTTTCATTAAGTCACACAGACTTTCTGTAACGTGATATAGAGTCGTTGGATTACATCGATCAATAAATGCGAGTATTTTATGAATTTGTATGTGTGTATTACTGTATTATGTATTATGTATATGTGTGTGTGTGTGTGTGTGTGTGTGTGTGTGTGTGTGTGTGTGTGTGTGTGTGTGTGTGTGTGTGTGTGTGTGTGTGTGCGCGCGTGTGTGTGTGCGCGTGTGTGTATTACAAGAAAAATTAAAATGCTAAAAAAACGGATTAATAGATTAAAAGTAGATAAATAAACGATGTACGGCTTTAAAGCGCACATTTACCTGTACTTGGAGCCCGACAGCAATGAAGGTACACAGGTGGTGATTTTTGTGGAAAAATATCAACGATTTATTAATAAAATAACGATTTAAAGCGATTACGGGAGTAGTACAAATGAATATTAGGCTGAGGCCAGCTCCTGGATCACAGATCGTGTTAAAGTTACCACAAAAGCTATGTTTAATATAATAACAGTCATCATTGTTCAAAACTATTATGCCATTCTTAAGCTACGCGTTAAAAATAATAAAGATTATCACGTCACGTCCAAAATAATTAGATCATCACTTGACCGAGAGCACTCTATCACGAGGATCTCTCGGGGCCACGATAGTAGAAATCATCTCTTGGGTCCATTACGAAAATCACTCGAGACCGCGCAAGTTACTGGCACTCTCGAGCGGACTTGAATCTAATAACAGCACCTGATATTCCGTACCTGCGACATCGTCCTGATAGTACATCGATGGCAATTCCGTGAACAGCAAACCCTCGCTCAAATCACCACTCGCGCCCAGCACAACGTCCGACACTTCCGTTACTACCGAACTCATCGACGCACTATTCTTCAGTTTAGACCAGTCGGAGTACGTTACGTCTGTCCTCGCCGAGCCCTGCTCCTTCGCCGATACAGTTTCTTTGCCAGTTCGCGCGTCGTTTCGGAACGTTTCCGAGCTTTTCAGCGAGGTGTTGGAAGGCGGCGGCGGCGGCGGCGGCGACGGTTCCGCTTCTGGCAGACCATGGTCTGTTCTCGACGAAGAGGTGTCGAGGATGACGGCTTCGCACGGGGTCACCATGACCATCTGTTCCTCTTCGACGGCATTGGGTGAGCTCGGCGGTGAGCTGTGCACAGTATATAAAACGTAATCTATGTCGGCGTCGTCCGAGGACGATTTAGTCAGCAAATCGTCGCAGTGTATACCGTGTGCTTTTAACATGTGCTCGCGAAGACTCGTCTCGCTGCTGAACAAATGCCCGCACACATCTATCGGACAACGATACAGCCATTCCATTTGATTCTCATCCTGGGAACACACGTCGGCATTCTGCTTCTCGACGTCGTTCTCCTTCGCGATAGTTTCCGCGGCACTCGCCAGCTCCGTATTCCACCGCTTCGGCTTAATCGGCTTCACCCGCGAGTAATGAGATTCCCTGGTTCTCGCGCGTTTCTGATCGTTGCAAGCGCTCTCGGGCACGTTCAAGTCGTCCGGTTTGCTCTGCTGATGCTTCTTAATGTGCACGTACAAGCTGCTCTTCGCGGAGAATCGGGCGGCGCACACGAAGCACTGGAAGAACCGGCCTTCCGTGTGCGTCAGCCGGTGTTCCTTCAGATGTTCCGAGCGCATAAACGCCTTGCCGCAATCCGGCACGTCGCACACGAACTTGCGCTCGTTCGTGTGCTTCTTCTGGTGGCGCTTAAGCTTGCTGGACGATGAGAAGGCCCAGTTGCAGTCTTGGAAAGTACACGGGTAAGGCTTGTAGCCGGTGTGAGAACGCATGTGGGCCTTGAGCCGACACGGCTTGTCGAAGATCTTGCCGCAGCCCGGCCACGAGCATTTGATGTCCACTTCCTTGTAGCTATGCGAACGCTGGTGCGACGTCAGTGCGTTGCTGCTGTAGTAACGTTTGCCGCAGCCCTCGTGCTGGCACACGTAAGGCGCGTGGCGCTGGTCGTGCGACTTCATATGCACTTCCAACGCCCGTTTCGTTTGAAACTTCTCACCGCAGTCTGGCACCTGGCAAACGATCCGATTGGGACGACTGTGCAGCTTCGTGTGGCTCCACAGATTGTAGACGGTGGTGAAGCGACGATTGCAGCCTTCCACCTCGCACACGTAGTCCTTGCGCTTCAGATGCGTCTCCTTGTGCCTCTTCAGCTTGAACTCGGAATAAAAGGCCCAGGTGCAGCCCTCGAAGTCGCACTGTGAAGAAATGGCCGGTTAAGATAATCGCAAACGAAAGAAGAAGGGGAGACGCGCGCCAAGTAATTTCTCAAGGACTTGGTCGAATTCATTTCAAACGATATTTGTCGCACAATTATATCGCCGCGATAAAAAGAAACGAGAGGGAAAACGAAATGCAGTTATCACGATGTCTTTTGCATGTACCTTAAACGGTCTGACGCCATAGTGGGCCAGCAAGTGGCCTTTCAGTGTGTACAATCTGCCGAATTGTCTGTTACAGTCGTCCCGCGGGCAGAGCCAGACCTTGTCGTGCTCGGTGGCGCACAATGGCTGCAGGCTGTCGTCGGTGATGCCCAGCTCCTCCAGCGCGTTAGATATAACAATTTCATACTGACTACTCGGATTGCTGTCGGCAGCGTAGTCGGCCGCGCCGCCGTTCCAGACTGCGGCAGTGGTGTCGATCTTGGGCAGCTTTGGGAAGTTGCCCGTTGCCTCGATCAGCTCCGAGGTCTTGCCCTGATAGATCTGCTTCTCCGTGCCGGTATTGATGACGATCTGCGTCATGTTGGAGATCTTGTCGGTGGATATAGCGACCACGGCCATCGTGCCGTCCCGCGTGTCCGCATCAGCGGGCGCAAAGCTCTTGCCGTTGATACGCTTGTCGAGCTTCTTCTCCAATCGCTCCGTCATCTGCCGGCGTTTCTTGATGATACGAGGCTCGAGCTTCGTCTTCTTGGACTGTTCCGTTGCCGCGCCCACCTCCATGGGGCTCGTCACGGTACTCGGCGAGCTCTCGTCCATCGGCGACAGAGCCTCGGTGAAGAGCTCCGAGGAAGCCGCCGAAGATTGCGCCACAGTCTCCTGCTCTGCCTTCGCATCCCCCATCTCGTTCGCGACCAAACTCGGCAGTCGACCGAGCGCGGATTTCTCGCAGGGTGTCTCGACGCTCCGCGCTGGGATTCCCGTTTTTGGGACACTTTGTGCGACATCTTGATTCTCCACGTTCAACGTCGGCTGGCTGCTCGCGGACGGTAGAATCTCGCCGGCCACCATCATGTCGTCCGGCGCGAGCGCCGCTAGCGGATCGAGATGGTCCAGCTGGAACTCCGGCAGCATGAACTCGTCGACGACTTTCTCGCACGGTGGCTCCAGCAGCCGGTTCTCGCCGTGCGCCAGATCCTGCAGTATCGGGTCGTAGCTGGACGACAGGTTGAGCTTCTTGGCGTCCGCTAGATCGATGTCGATGGACAAGCCGTACGGATCTTTGCTCAGGAAGCAGCTGTGCGACAGCACCTCCTCGCCCAGATAGCGGTCCACGCCCTCCACCATCTTGGCCGCGTCCAGGTCCATGCTCGTCGGCACCGGCGGCTCCGTGCTACGCATCTTGAGCCATTTCTCAAAGTCGGCTACCGTCTCGACAACGTCAACGCCCTTTCCAGCCGTCGTTTGGTGCCAGGTCTCATTTCTTCTGGGCCTACGGTCCCTCTTACCGACCTCCTCCGTTCTCGGGGAGGCAAAGAGCGCATTGGCGGGCGCGCATTCCGCCCCCTCGCCCTCACAGCTAATCCTCTCGCAGCTGTGCCGTCTCGACGTGCAAGTGGCGACGGCAGCGGCGGCGGCGGCTCCTCTGCACGACATTGGTGGTCTGCCCCGTGGCCGGCGCTGCGGAGGAAGCCCACGTTGGTGCGGAGCGACAACGACATTCGACGGAGCATCATATATTTTTCACGGCAAAGGGGGACCCCTCCGTTTCGGGAGCCCGAGGCTACGGCCCGTTGTACGTGCGACCGTCGCCGGGTGTCTCCGGCAGGCGCCCTCCATTCTTTCCTACCGACAGATATCTCGTCTTTACGATTCAGTGTCCAAGACGCAATCCGCGGGTCGTCGAGGACCGCGCGGCGCGAGCTAACGGAGTCAACATAACCTCTTACCACGTACGATGCTGCGGCGGGCGGGCGGGCGGACCAGGCAGCGGTGTAGCGGATCGATACGGCGGTTATGTTCGATAGGGAGACTCGCCCGGCGATAACGACAACGGGGCGTGAGGTATCGTTTTCTCCGGCGTTCGTTCGCCCCCGCGAGACAGATACCCGCGCGCGCTCCTACGCGGCTCGCCGATCTCTCCTCGCGGATAACAATAAAATATAGAAAATGACAAAACAACGCTCATGAATGGACAAACTGACGCGACGGCACGCTCGCGGCCACGGCCAAGCCATCTAGCGGCGGGCGCGTTCGCCCCGTGGCGCCTGGCTCTGCGCCCCGGTCGATAAAGAAGGACCCGTCCTTTCTAGCGCGCGCACGCGATTCAAGAGCGCGAAAGAATTGTTCAAAATAAATAACAAGACAAGTTCTGCCACCGCGTGGCAGAACATTCTCACACTTAAAACACTCGGGTCGGAAGTCTAATGGAAAAAATATCGGTATTTGAAATTAAAAATTTTTCACTCGCGAGCAATTTGAAATTGGCTTCATAAAATTACAAAATTCTTCCGCACGATTACAGTACGCGTAAAAACAAAGCGGGGGGGTTCGCGACTTTATATAAAGAACGAAGAGAAATTAAAAATACCAGCATGTGAAGCTGTCACCTAACTTTACCGCAATTACTTACAAAGCGATATTTTTAATTTCTCGTCGCCCTTTGCACGAAGTCGTGAATCCCCCGCTTTGGTTTTTACGCGTACTATAATCGTGTGGAAGAATTTCGTAATTTTAGAAAACCAATTTCAAATTGCTTACGATTAAAAATTGAAAATTTCAAATACCAAATATCTTTTTTATTAGACTTCCGACCTGCGTGATTTATGTACGAAAATGTTCTGCTATGCGGCCCGCAAATCATCCTGGCATTATTTTGTGCACAAAAGCTAATTTCTGTCTGTCTGTAGATACATCGCTCGTTTAGTCCTCGAAAGATTTACGTTCCAGATCGGTTCGCGGCGCACGTTGGGACCCGCTCATTTTCTCGTTCACCAAAATTTTGAGTCGCTCGGTCCTCGAGTGCATTCGTGGCTCCTCCCGTGACATCGCCTGGCGTAGTATCCTCGCTGTATCAACGCGAGCTTCCGTCGCTCCCGTTGGAATCGACACTCGACGATACGTGGATTTCCTATGCGGTTTAACATCCTCCGATCTAATGTCCTGCCGATGTTCCGCGATCCCTTTGATGTTTGAAGCCGGCCTCATTTCTTCGTACGGTTTTCTGGCTGGCGCAGGTGTTTCCACCTTACCCTCGCAATCCTTCTAGTTAATAAATATATTCTTATAATAATATAAAGCCACAGCATCATATCTTTTTCCTTAAAAAAAAAAAAAACTTCAGCGATTTCAAATCTGAAGAAACATCTCGAAGAAAAGTTGAGAAAAGTCCCCTATTATGAGACAAGTTTCTAAATCGAGATAGCGGAATTTCTGTTAGATTAATAGGCGTCAATTGTTGGTTCCATCGTGAATCTGTTGCTCTTGAAGTGAAATCTGTTTAGCGGAAGATCCATTGTTAGATCGTGCAATCGTTGGGAAAAAAAGATTTGTCGTTGAATCTGGACGTTGAAAACCTGCTGCCTCGCGTTAGAAGCCTATTTCTTATAATAGGAGACTTTTCTCTACAACTGAACGCTCTTTTCCAGCAAACGCAGAACATTGCAGCAACGTTTACGGCAATCTTGTAACGTTGTAGCAATATTACAGCAATATTACAACATCGTCGCAACGTTGTCGCGACGTTCTGTGCTTGCTGGGTTGCTACCTGAACAAAACCTTCCACCATCGCTCTGCTGAGCAAAACAGCTCTGGGTAATTTATAGAACGGTGGTGGCTTAGGCTGCGGCTCTACGAGTCTCTTCGGATCTTTCGATGATTTAGTCGGATCGAAGTTCAGCACATCCTTCGACGTTGCCTGATGACGCGAATCCTTTTCGCAACGCGTTTGTTCCTGACCATCCGACAACTGGAAAGCGCAAGGATTCCCTGAAGATCTTCTCGGGCCAAATACGTATTCCCAGAGGGTCAACTTCCGTTCCGCAAGTTTCTTCGGCTTCGTCGACGATGCTCTCTGGAAGCTCACAGACAAGCGCGTCTCTTTCTTCAATCCTGTTGAGATTAATAGCGAAGTAACTACATTAAAAACAGAGACGCGAGTTCCTCGAAATTTTCCCCAAACTTCCCTTTCAATTTTATCACAATGTTGCATAAGTAATTTACTAGTAAATCTTACCACAACGCTCGGATCTCTTCGATAGAGTTGACATCGGCCTTCTGTTATGATCCTTGATATCTTTCTTTGAACACAGAGACTTGGCATAATGCCACGAATGTTGCTTCAACCGACGGTTATATTTATTCTTTTAAAAATAAATTACGATTAACACGCACTGTTTATATACGTATAAATATATATATATATATATATATATATCTAGAATAATCAAGATCAAGTCTTACATTTAGTGAGAGTAAACCGAAAATTTGGAGTCTAGACCAAAAACATGCCATTTATGACGAATAGCGCTCCGCAATTACATGTTGAAAAATATGTAGACGCTACATAATTCAGCAGACGATGAAACAAAAAAGAGACGTGAATTTTGCAGTGCGAAAATATTCACAATTGTATTTCTTTTGAAGATCCAAAGGAAATACGCCGATTTTATAAATATATATAGCTTTACGTTATTTTAACCCTTTGCACTCCGATGATTTAGACCAGATTGATATTTCATCTATTGGTTTGGACTTGAAAAGACGTCGCGTGAGACTCGACAAAGGAGCTCCTGAGATGAAAACTGACGTCGAGTCACACTCGACGTAGGAGTGCAAAGGGTTAAAAGTCGAACGCGCTTCTTTGTTATTCAATTAAACTTACATGTTTTAAGTAAACACGCGTACGCGATTGTCAGAATACAATACACGAATGTAAAATTTGAAAAAAAAAAAAGGTTGGCCCATGAGGGGATCGAACCCGCGACCTTCGCGTTATTAGCACGACGCTCTAACCAACTGAGCTAATGGGCCAGTCGAGATATCTGCTCTTAACATTTTGCTCTTCTACTATCTCTTTTACATAATATGATAAAAATAATTTCAAACGAGCACGCAGTAATAAGAATTGTAAGCTAAATGAAAAGATATCTATTTCTCCGCAATGCAGAAAATATTAATTCAAATAAATACGTAAATTTCAGAGATCTCGCATAACCTTCAAGTAATATTTTATTCACAGGTATTCATTAAAACGCTTTAAAGTAAAATGAGAAATAATTACATAAAATAGTATGGTACGCCGTTCGATATATATCGACTATGTGTAAGACATCTCGCACTTACTAAACATGCGTACAAGCTTAAAAAAAATATATATATACATATATATATCATATTAAGACAATATCGGCGGAGATGAAATTTGATTCGAGAGCTTAATCTTTTTGAAAGTCGGTCCATAATCGCATTCCTCCTCCGATTCCGCCGAACTGACATTGCTCATTTCATTGTGTTCATAGTTCACAGATAACTCTAGCACTTGATCGTCTTCGCCGGAGCACACATTCACTTCTGACTCTATATCGCTCTTCTGGATCTTCGAGTAAAACGCAACATCGTCAGGATCGGCACTTAAGTCATCACCAATATCGCTGCCGCAGTTGGAGGCTGAGTCAACGTCACCGCGATGGAAATTCAGCGGCATATCGGCGCACGAAGAATCATTATCGGCCTCACTGCAGCTACGTCGATCTAAATCATAGGCGACCTTACTTTCATTGGCGTTCGTGATTTCCTTGGACGCGTCCGAGTCTGAAAATTCATTTCCATCAGCGATAGACCACACCTGGCTGCGCAATACTCGAGTCGCTTGGTACACCGTCACAAGCAAACCTGTGTCAGACGCTTTGGAGATCAGCGAGGCTCCCGTGATACTCGCGTTTTCTAAACCTGGCAAATCGAGATCCGGCATCTGGGCGTCGTTTAATCTCGCGAACGAAGCGACAAGTTGACAGCGGAAGTTCACGCAAGATTCCACTTTGCGGAAGCACGTCTCGCACAAGAACGCATTGTCC